TTTAAACAAGAGCAGTGATGTGATTTCACTGATACTTTCCTGTCAAAAGATTGCTCACAGTCCATTTAGAACAGGGCTAAAGGAACCAACTTGCAGTATTTTGAGCTGAAAAAGACATATTCTTGGGACATGTGAGACAATTAAATGAATAGGATGTACTATTAGAGCGTACACAGGATTTATGGAGAACTTCCTACCGCGTTTGGGCACAGTCAGTTGAACATATGTACAAACTAGAGGGCCTTCAGTAAAGGGATGTAGTTGCCCCGGCCGGCCATGATACTGCATTTTCGAAAAAAGTGACCTCTGACCTCTAGCAGAGCTATTTTTGCACTGACTGACCTCAAAATCGAATCATTCTGAGGAGAGGCCATTCCTAACTCACCTGTAAAATGTCAACTTGTTAGACCTTAGCACTCGAGCCATAGATAAAATCTGACAGTGAGTACTTTGTTTAGAACTCTTTTAACGATGAATTAAAAAGGTGTGGATGATGAAGAGCCTCCTGAAAACAAGCCTTTGTTTGAAGCAATGTTTCTTTTGCTGGCACATGTGCGGTCAGCCTGCTTGAGCACATGACTGCTTTATATCACACGTACCTACGAAGGCACATGGATGCGGCAAGCATGAATAATGATCCATGCATATATAACAATATATACTATCACTATTATTATACTACTTTTCTAGTCTACAAGAGTCTGTTTAGAAGGCTCTGTTCCATATGTTGCAGGTTGTATCTATGGATTCTATGCATGCACAACAATGCCCTTGTAGTGTAGTCACCACGTGGACAGAAATTTAGGCTGCACAAGGACATGTACAGATGGACTCTGTGCAGACTCTCACAGACTTGGCATGACACAATTCATACCACACAGACCCTAGTGTACTTGTGGATGCAAAACGTGCTTCTAAAATGTTTTAGTTTAGCTCTCCTTTCCCTGTGGTGAATATCATTTTTGAACTTAATCTCAACACAGAGAATCCTTCAGACACTCCGTTAGATTTTGTTAATTCTCTCTCTTTAGACACAGCCCAGACAGCGTCCTCCTTCTTATCTGGCCTACACTCGAAGCAAGTCCCAGAACAGCAGCAGACAGTCAGCCTGCATTAGGTGTAATGTCGGGTCAGAGAGGCTAATGAAATGTCACCAGATCCCTGGTGCATCTGTGCGACATGGCCCAGCAGGAGCCTGGAGGTCACAGACAGTGTGGTAATATAATCTGTGATTCTAAGTGTGCCTGTCACAACCACAGGACAATGAAGTCAAACAATACAGTGTCCTTTCAGAGAAACACAACACGCAGCTGGACATAGCTGCACGTTGTCATTAGTTTGTGTTATCAGCTGGGGCTTGATGAATTGGTTTCTAAGTGGGAGATTGATGATTCATAGAAATAAGACTAATTCTATGCTGATGAGAGATATAAAGATAGCTTTGTTTAACTTCGATTGAGATAGGAGCTCGATTCACTAATGCTAAAGTTGTCACTCTTCTGTGTTTTTCATTTCATCAACACCCCAACCCCCTGGACTCCTGGTTCCTAATATTGCCAATAAGGAGCGATTTTGTGCAGTCTCGTGTTTTTCTGTTTGGTGTAGCACGCTGCCATCACAAGTGACGTTACAGTGAAGCCATGCACCAGCCCAGTTTTACAGTCCAGACACGCCTGTCTTTAGGCTCCACATGATAGAGATGTGATGTCTGACTATTCACATGTTTACAACCTCTACAAACCAGATGTTTTTCACACGTCTAGAAGGATTTCTCACCATGCTGAATGTATCTGCTATTTACGTCTTACTTTCTTATTTGGTTCCTGAGTTCAAAGAAGTACAATCAAGGCTTAAAGGCTACAGCAGATGTGCCCAGAGCCTACACATATTTCACAAATAAAGACATTTTTAGAAATGATGGATCATGAATCATGAATCACTTGCAGCTCCACACCAAGACATATCAAAACCCTCAGCATGCACTGATCCCCGTCACAACAGGCAGAGGAGTCCTTTAAAAGGTACTGGGGCTCCAAGATTAGATTTAATCATCACACTGAAATGCGTGCGTGCGTGTGTGCGTGTGTGTGTGTGTGTGTGTGCGTGTGTGTGTGTGTGTGTGTGTCAATGGAGGAATGAGAAACACATTATAAACCGCTTTGGAACCTCTGAAGTAATGAAAACAGTGTATAAGTGCAGACCATTCACCATAAACACTCTTTGTATGGGAAATGTGAATTTGTGCAATCTGTTCTCACTCAGCACCATAACTCTTCTAACAGATCAATGGCTTATTTTTCTTTTAAGCTACATTTTGTGGAAAAGGGATTTTCAACATGAAGAAAGGCAGGAGCTCTTGCTGTTCTTGCAGCCAACTATTCTGCTGATATAGTCTCATTGGTTTCATTCACAGCCACATGATGTGCTCGCCTTGATTACGAGGGAGGCTCCCCAACTGGCCCATTCCTCCTGACAGAACTGGTGGAACTGAGTCAGGTTTGTTGGCCACCTTACTTCAAGCTCCTTTTCAGCTCTGCCCACTAATGTTCTCCAGGGAGATCAGGGTTTTGTGATGGCCACTCCAAAACACTGACTTTGTTGCCCTTCAGCCTCTTTGTAACTAATCAGGCGGTATGCTTTGGGTTATTGTCCATTTGAAGACCCATTCGTGCCCAAGCTTTAACTTCCTGGCTGATGTCTTGACATGTTGCTCCAATATTTCCACATAATGTTCTTTCCTCATGAGGCCATCTATTGTGTGAAGTGCACCAGTCCCTCCTGCAGCAAAACACCCCCACAACATGATGCTGCCACCCCCGTGCTTCACAGTTGGGATGGTGTTCTCAGGCTTCAAGCTTCCCCCTTTTTCCTCCAAATGTAACGATGGTCATTAAGGCCAAACAGTTCAGTTTTAGTTTCATCAGACCACAGGACATGTCTCCAGATATTAAGGTCTTTGTCCCTGTGTGCATTTACAAACTGTAATCTGTCTTTTTTATGTTTCTTCTGGAGTAATGTCTTCTTCCTCTCTGAGTAGCCTTCCAGCCCATGTCGGTACAGGACTGGTGTCACTGTGGATAATGACTCTCTTCAGCAGCATCTTCACAAGGTCTTTAGCTTTTGTTCTGGGGTTGATACGCACATTTCACACCAAAACACTTAATCTCTGGGACACATCTCTAAAAAATTGTCTCTCTCATTATTCTGACATTTAGCAAATGTAAATAATTTTGGTAATTCTAACTGACCTAGAACAGGAAGAGTTTAGTCTGATTTAATGTCAGACAGCGAGAGGGGGGAAAAAGGCTCTATGTCTTTTTATACAGTGCATGTAAACTTCTGGTTTTAACAGTACATAACATTTTAAACACATAAACTAGCTTAAAACTAAAAAAAATAAAAAATAAAAAAACAACACTGACTGTAAATAAACATTATGATCATTATAATTATTGTTCATAGTATTATTAACATATATATTTCGATATATATTTATCATGTTGATATACTTTACATATTATTGTTGAACACCTTCAGGTTTTATGCCGCTTATGTTCTAACTGATGGTGCTGTTGTCATGGTAACCTGCAGATAATGACACCACAGTGACATCTGGTGGACAGAGTAGAGCAGTATGTGTGTGTGCGAGTGTGTAAATATTCTTCATTCATGACATTAATTCTGTCATGTGTTGCGTATGACTTAAAACAGGGATGTGCACAGTTAATAGGACAATAGTACGTATTTTACATTGACTTGCTTTAAAGCTTGTTGGTGTAAAATAAGGTATTTCAATCTTCCAAACATAAAGAAAAAACTTATTGAGTGGTCACTGAGAAAGATTATATGCCAGATTTTGTAATTCAATCAGTATGAGTGACAAGAGTCCAATCCAACAAGAAGTTTGACCTTTAATCGACTCTTAGCTCACTTACGAGTTAGGTTTATATCTCTGAATAGATTTGGATCATTGAGAGACGAACAATCTTTCCAAAGTTGCTCTCAAAGTCACCCAGAATAATTGATAATTTGGATGATGTGAAGCATTAATAGTAGACAAAATATAGTTGTTTCTTTAATGAAAACTTATTTTAGCAGATATTCAACTACATAGTGTTATTTTTGATATAACAAGCTCTCACTCCTCCATGGCCCAACCTGCTCTGTGCAAAATATACTCACGTTTAATTTCATTGTCAGGGATATCACTATTCAACCGTGTCTCATTAAGTGTATTTACACGAGGCTTACATTAAACAAACCAGGGTCCTAAGAGATCAGTTATAGGAAGTAAGCTCATAATATTCAGGTGAATATGATGCAGACCTTTAACAGTGTGATTATGTCATGGGTACAAAAAATACAGGAGATAAATATAGTGTGTTTACATAGTAATTGGAATTTAAATTTCCCTGATTGATGATGAACAATATATTGAAGGTCACAATCAACCATAAATCTATAGTTAAAAAAGCACAATGACATCAGACTTTAGGATAAATCAGGAACAAAAGAGAAACTTTACAACAGATTGCTGTACCTTTGAGGTCGTACAGTTTACATCAAACAAATGAACTTCGTACACGGCATAGACGACTTTAACCCGATTCAGGATTTTCATGTTGCCATACGCAGAAGGTCTTTCAGGGTCCACTGGGCCCCAAGAAAGAATTTGTGCAAAATATCTGTTGGTATTCATTATAGACTTTTATACTATGCTGAATAAATGTTCTGATAAGGTGACGTATTTTTGGTTCCAAATGCATGACAAATGTCCCTCTTTTTATATTTAAAAACATCTTTAATAAATAAAAAAAACAACACCTGTCACCTAAACCAAATGGCCTGGGGTCCAAAAGACCCCCAAAGTCCTGAATAGGGTTAAGAACATGCTGCAGTAGCAACAGGTTTTTCTAGTTTCCAAAAACTCAAAGGCATGCTTTACCACCAGAAAAAATTAATGATAGATGCAAGAAAATCAATACTTAGATGGAGAAGAATGAAAGATTTATAACCATTTATTACACATAGAAGTTATGGAGATGTCTTAGGGATGTCCTGAAGGGAGGCCTCAGCATCATCAGGGCAATGAAACTGTGAGATTCTACGTGATCCTCAGTCATCCAAGTCATTGAAATCCAAAGTGTTTCACGAGAAAGCAGCCAGGAGGCCTCCTTATTTCTCACTAGAACAGAGGGGAGCGTTGTATATGCAGTCCAATGCAGAGAGGAGTGCATAGACCTATATACAGGGGAGACAAAACATCAGTCCAGAGGCTCAACACAGGACAGACGACTCTGCAGTCCAGCTGTATCTAAAGGATAAGGGCACTTCTCTGAGAACAACAATGTCTGTATTCTGGACAGACAAGACAGATGGTCTGAGAGAGGAGTAAAGGAGGCCGTCTTTGGTAAACAGGAACAGCCATCTCTAAACAAAGGATGGGGTCTACAACACAACTTATCAGCTACTTATAATGCAGTCTTAAGATCCTTTTCCGTATAGTTTGACCACTATTAACACCTTCAGTCTGTAGTTAATGGGTCATTAACCATGTGATTTGGGGGCCTAGTTGCCTTACAGTGAAGCACTTGGGAGTGAGGGTTTATCCTTTGAAAATACTAAACATGGCAGGACAGTGCTAATGTGCAACCAAACACTGAAGAACTAGCAGCATGTGGGATCAGCTAATGAAAGCCAGAATGCATTATCCTTAACTTGTAAGATTAGAGTTCGGCTCTCAGCCTCCTTTTCCATCAAGTAAAAATGTATCTCCTCTTGGGTTTGAAATGACGTTTGAATATAACACAATACTTTCCTAAATCACAAAAAATAAATAACATTTACAGCATTATCCACTGCATGTTCTGCTGCTGTGCCAGTGATGTTTCACATTCAGGAGTCACACTGTGAAAGTTTCAATCGTATCCAGCTCCACTGGAGTGTGGATCAGAAGTAAGTACAGCTCAATCAGTCAGTCAGCTGATTTAACTGGATAAAAATCAGTCGTCATCGAGCGACGCCTCCTGGTGTTTCAGGAAGCGAATCAGACTCCCAGGCAGCGGCAGCTTCTTCAACTTTCGATGTCCAACTAGCTGCAGAATCTGCAGCCTGCAGAGGTGCATCAGCGGCCGTGGAGGAGCTGCAACAAACACAGACTGTTGAGACTGGAAACACACCTAGCAAGCCAGTAACATCACTGAAGCACACCAGACAAACCAGTAGCCATAACGTCTCTTACTTAAGTGTTTACTGCAGCAGCACTTGATCAGTTATCAACTGATAATCAGAAGATATTGATTCACCTGCTTTATCCTTGATGTTTTTCCAGTCAGCGTAACTGTCCAGGTGCTCTGTCAGTCTGGAGCAGAGACTCACATGACCAACGTAGTCCAATAGGACATCAATAATTGGCCCCGCCCACCGAGAGATACTGGGAACGGAGATCATCTCACAGAACTATCAACCAATCACAGAACTGTTATTCAACCACTGAACTGCCACTGAATCAATTGCAACTTGTTTTAGATACATTAAACATAGATTACTTGAATGCCACGTAATAAACACATTTAACAGAAGTCACCAGAATGCATTGTATCAAGCACATTAAACATAGGTCACATTAATGTTTAGTTTTAAGCATGTTAAATAAAGGTCACCTAAACGTCACATAATAAATACATTAAAGGAGGTCATCTGAATACCTCACTTGCTCTTAATCAGTCATTTGCAGCATATTTTACACACATAAACCATTCTATTTACCACAGTAAACAGGGGTCACCTGAATGCCTCCCTTCATCTGCATCCCCTGTAGGTCAGTGCTGCGAACCGCTTCTCTCTCCGATCGAGTGGTCTTGATTGGCGGATGAGCCCGGCTGCCATACACACACTTGAAGCAGGAGATAGCGTCGCCTCCATGGTCTAGCAAGTACTTGAACATGGACAGGTACTTCATGGAGAACATGTAGACAGCAGGGAAGGTGGTGGGGTGGGTGGGGATGCGAGCGTTGATATCGGCACCATGCTTCACTAGCAGGGTGACTGTCTGGATGCAGCCTAGCCTGGCTGCCACCATCAGCGGCTTAAACACGTCCAGGTTTGGGTCTGCACCAGCAGCCAGCAGCATGCGCACAGCATCAATGTTGTTGTTGATGACAGAGAAGTAAAGTGCAGTGCTGCGGCGGTCCTCATACAGCTTTGTGCGCTCCTCAGACAACTGGGCATTGACATCAAAGCCGGCGTCAATCAGGGACTCTAGAACATCATCTCGGTTACGCTCAGCTGCTATGTGCAGTGGACTGATGCCAGTGCGCCGGACTCTGGCCTTACTAGTGGCTGGGATCAACATGGAGACGATGCTGGAATCAAAAAACAGGAATTAGCACCTGATACCTGACGGAAAATTGGTTAAAAAAAAGTGTTTCTCTGATTAATGTTTGAATGAAGTGGTGTGTGTTTTAACATTGATGTTATTGCTTTATAATTACTTTATTCCTGTTATATATGTGCTCCCACTTCATAAACAAGGTCCAATTTAGATTTTACCTCAGTGACAGCTTTTCATTAGTATGCTGTGGGGTTTCAGCTGACAGGTGGTGAACAAGAACAACAACCCTCTGCTGGCGGTCTTTAAATTTAACAGGCTTAGTTTTTGTTGTAAAGAGCTGAAGTGAAGTGCAGCGCCGCACTGAACTACAGAGCTGATGTTTGTTTATATGCAGATGACACCTAGCTCTATGTAGCTGTTGATCCTTCTTTATAAACATCTTTGTCACATTTGAATCTTAGAAAATAACAAAATACATCAGTTTAAAATTTGTTAGACACATCATGATCAGTGTGCCTACGTGTCACTTCCTTTCTGGGCAGCAATGTGAAGTGGTAGGAGTCCTGTCTTTCCGGGTTTGTTGGCATCAGCATTCTGGGAGACGAGGAACTCCACGACTTCCTCATGCCCATTTTTAGCAGCTTCGTACAGGGCCGTGGCTCCATCAGCTGCCTGACTGTTAAGGTCTGCACCTACAGTGAGATGAGGACGAGGTCATGGGTGAGGAGTAGGTGGCAGCAGAGGAAGTAAGCAGCAGTTAGCAAAAGCAGTGGTAGCAGTTAGCTGTATCAGCACACAGGAAGACAAGCCCCTTCATGTACCATGTTTGAGAAGTAAGCGCAGTGTGGCGAGCTGCCCAGTCTGAGCTGCAGTGAACAGCGGCGCGATGCCGTACATGTTGGTGAGGTTGAGTTTGGCTCCAGCCTTCAGTAGCATCTCACAGATCTCCACATTGTTTCGACCCACAGCTTCCTGCAGAGCCGTCCATCCCATAATGCAGCGCGTGTTGACAGCCGCTCCATGGTTCAGCAGCATTGCAACCATTGCAGGATTGTTCCTCTCACAGGCTGTAGGGAGCAAAACCAGTTTATGAAAGAGACAGTCCAGCCAAACTACAGAGTACTCAGATGGTGCTCACTGTTGTACTCCACTGCCAACAGACTATCCAATAATCCTGTCACGACATAAATTTGGCCATACCAGTATCAGACACCTGACATATGGATGACAACTTGACTCCTGTTACCTTTATAGAGGGGAGTCTCTTTATCGTTGTTCATGATGTCGAGGTCAGCTCCATTGTCCAGCAGCACTTCAGCACATTGCAGCTGCAGTTTGCCGACAGCAACCAGTAGTGGCGTCTCGCCACGCGCTGTCCTCTTGTTGACCATCCCTGGTTGAGCTGCTCACACAGTTACAGAAAAAATGGCCTCTGTCTTCCAGCTGTTGTGGCATTTCTGTGTGCAAGTGTGTGTGAACCTACCTATTAGCAGCATTCGCAGACAGGCTTCCTGGCCGAACCACGCCGCCTGGTGAACCGCCAGCCAGCCTGGTTTACTGGGCAGCATCAGGTTTGTTCCTGGATCCATCACCAGCGCTCTCACTGTGTTTGCATCACCTGTACGGATCGCTTTGAACAGAGGCTCCTCCTCCCTGCAAGGACAAGACCCATCAGTCAGCATTACACATGCATACCTGTCTCACCTGTACAAAAGTCTAACTGCTCTTCCTGTATGTCTGTATATGTGTATACCTGTCTCACCTGTATGACTGTAAATATGTACACCTGCCTCATCTGTACATCTGCACAAATGGTAAGAATTAGAGTCATCTGTGCATGAGTACAAATCTACCTGTGTCACCTGTACAAATGCACACCTGCTACTCCTGTGGACTTGTTTCACCTGTATACCTGCAAAAGTGTGACTCTAATCTACCTGTGCATGCGTGCAACTGTACACTGCTTTCACCTGTACCTCTGCAAAATGTGCATTTATCTCATTAGCACAAATGTAAATTTGTCTCACCTGTACACCTGCACAAATGTAGACCTGCCTAATTTGTGCACATGCACAAATATACACCAGCCTCATCTGTGTTCCTGTCTCACCTGTCCAGACCCGCTGTGTTCATGAAAAATGAAACACTGCCCAGTTCTTTTATAGCTCATCACAGACTGTTCAATCAATCAGACCTTAAAGGTCCATTTACATGGATGTGACACCTGACACAGGTGAGTCAGAAGACTGAGGTGGTTCCACATACAGAGATGGTTGATGAACACAACTGAACTTACTCTTCAGGTTCTGGAGCCATGTAGACCACGTTGCCATCAGGTCTGCGGTACGCCACCATCCTCTTTCCAGAACCTGTCATGAAACGGCTGATCGTCCCGTCAAACGTCTTCCTGCAAGCACCAGGACCACAGCCAATCAGAGCACAAAGACAGACACTGTCCAGTGCCAAACAGGCAGGGAAGTCATTTGTCTGTAAATTTATTCTGAAATCTGCCCGAGGCCGATTGCTTTGAGCTATGATGTTGAATAGCAAGAACATTGGTTCCACATTTAATTTACCCCGTATGTGTATTTGTGTCCATAAGGCAGCAGTTTTCTTGCTGTCACTCTGTGTTGATGTAGTTTCCGCTGGAAGCACAGAGTGTTGCATTCCTTTGATCTGTGACTGAGTGCTGTGGAGATGTTATTTCTGTTGTTACTTTTATTCCAATTTAGGATTAAAACTTGAAACTCTGTTTATTCAGTTGTTTTACCATTTCCAACAACCAAAGTACTCTGCACTTCCTTTTATCCCTCACCCCATCCATTTGAGGCAGATGTCCGCCCTCCCTGAGCCTGGTTTTGTCATGAATGTATGTCTGTATGCATAAAATTGAAAGGACTGTATGTAGCTGAGATACAATTTGTTTCAGGACTCATCATGAACAGGAAAGTAAAAACTTGGGTTACGTACGGATCAGGAGGCTTCTCACTCGGAGGATTTGGAGAACTGTAGTGTGCAGTGGTTTCGGCCGGAGGAGGATTATGGCCACTGTGGCTGGGTTGGTTTGTGTTTCTGGCCGAAGGGTTCGGTCTGTTGTCTCGGTGATGAGGAGGCCTGTTGGTGTTGGTTGTATTGGTGGTGGTGTTGCTGGAGCTGCTGATGCTGCTGGTGTTGGTTGTGTTGTTGGTGGTTGTGTTGCTGGTGTTGGTTGTGTCATTGGTGGCTGTGTTGCAATGGGTGTCGGTCAGACTGCGCTCGATGGCGAGCTGAAGCAGCTCATCATCACTCAGATTACTGTAGAGAGAATAATCCTCAAAGGCCAGATTGGAACCCGTTGATCCAGAGTGAGAGATGCTGGCTGCTGCCATGATGATGCTGAGAGGGTCAGCAGTCTGAAACAAACAGGACGAAACACCAGAGCTGGTTTCTTATAAAAACTCACTGTGCCTGCATTAGATTTTTAATGTGATGATGGGCTGTTTTCATCTGCAAAGTTCCTCTGAAAATATCTGACAAAAAAACAACTGTTCAGTATTTTATTCGTCTTCCTACAAAATCTATTCTGTCCTTCCTGACCTGAACCTGAACACAGTACAAATACTAACTATCAAGCAGCTACAAGAACTTAAGAACTGGCTTCAGCATCCATATCCATAGTAAATATTCATAACACAGTAAGAAAGAAAGAAAAAAAATTAAGTTATGTTTTAAAATAAAAACTGTCAATAGGTAACTATCTGGGCCCTCTCCATAATGCTGAGAGAACTTTATATATATGAAGAGTTCATTTGTAAAAATGGATAACTCCAAATTTGTAGAGTTTTAGAAAACTTATTTTTTTGTTGTTTGCTTGAGATAATATCAATCAAACTGAAGTTGAGTGGATTTGACTCAGTAGAAATGACGTGACAAAAACAGAAATAACTTAAGTTTGGTTGAGGGCTGCTAGGTGGTGGGGACACCAGGATCTTTCTGTGTGGAGTCTCCATGTTCTCCCTGTGCAGCGTGGGTTCTCTCTGGGTTCTCCAGCTTCCTCCCACACAGTCAAAAACCATGTTGAGGTTAATTGGTGATTCTAAATTGTCCGTAGGTGTGAATGTGAGTGTGCTTGGTTGTCTGTCTCTAAGTGTAGCCCTGTGATAGACTGGTGACCTGTCCAGGTGAACCTGCCTTCACCCTGAGTCAGCTGGGATAGACTCCCTCCCGCCCGTGAACCTAGTGAGGATTAAGCGGTGTATAGATCATGGATGGATGGAAGTTTGATTGATATTGTCTCAGGTAGATGATGGAAAAGTGGGTTTTCTGAAGGTCTGCAAAGGTGGAGTTATCTGTTTTTGCAAATGAACTCTTCATATATATGTACAGTATGTAATGAGAGACATCTACCCTTAGGGGTGTAATCACTTTTGTTGCCAGCGGTTTACATTAATGGCTGTGTATTGAGTTATTTTCAGGGGACAGTAAATTGACATTGTTATTCAAGCTGTGCACTGATTACTTTACATTGTAGCAAAGTCTCATTTCTTCAGTGTTGTCCCATGAAAAGGTAAAATTAAATATTTGCATAAATGTGTTAGCTTCATATATGAATATACTACAGGCACACACACACACACACACACACACACACACACACACACACACACACATATGGCCAATTAAACAAGGACTGTCCTGCACAGCATCATTGACAGCCCCCTTATCCACCACCTCGTCACTGAACAGGACACGCCATGATTGATAAAGACGGGCACATGGGTTTAGGTTCTTATTTATAGACCTTTACTAATTCATTAAAAGCATGCAAACTAAACACACCTGATTTATCCTTCTGGACATCATGTTAAATGTATGAACCAATACATTTTTAAACAGTTTATTACTAGGAGAATAGAGGAGCGAATCACATGGATTTCGATTCTATTTATGCGGCTTTTATCAGTCTTTTGGGGTAATTAAGATGGTGACAACAAGCCTAAATATTTTATATCACACAACATACAACTGGGAAATCAAGTCCTATAATACGGTCAGTGGTAAAATCATGGGTCAGTGTTACAGGGACTCTGGTTACACAACAGCACGGGTTAAACCTGACGGGTTAACCTGTCTTGGACCGGATGACTGTCCCAGCATAAGTTGTCAGAGTAACTGAGTCAAATTTGCTTTATAGAAGTGAAATAACTGAAAGTAGGTCGGACAAACTAAAATAAGCCTGGTTTGTTTTGTAGAACAGGCACCTAGTGAGGGACCGCACACACACACACATATACACATAAACAGCAAACAGCCGCATGAACAACAGCAAACAGAGGGTTAAACTTTGCATAAAACAGTAACAGCTGCAGTAGATGAAGGTGCTCACCTCTCTCTTATATATCTGCTGTTTCTTACAAGTTAAAGCGTGGTGTGATCCGTGTGTTCTGCTGCTGTCTGTCTGTAATGGAGTCTGCACATGAGTGTGTGTGTTTGTGTGTGTGTGTGGGTGGGTGGTGGTGAGGGTGCTGAGGGTGGTCGGGGGGGGGGTTACTTAAAGTTTATTTTAAGAACCTGCAGTTGGGGCATGTTGACCGGCGGATCTCTTCTCTAACTCTAATGTTACAGGTGGAGTCACATGAAGCTTCAGCAGACCTAAACAGCTGAGTCACGGCGTCTCAAACATTATAAAATAATGATGAAGAGCTGCTTCATGAACTGGATTAATCTAATTCCAAACCTAGAACTAAGATTAATCCCAGCATAAAACCAACACAAACCTCTGTTTATGTTTACCTTTATGGTTATGTTTGATCAACTCTGTGTTGGTAAATAATTTGACAGTTAATCTGCAGTCTAACCTAATTAATCCAGCTAATCTCAGTTCCATTCCAAACTGATGCATCTGCCCAGGTATGTCCCTGATTAGTTTAGAGTGATTCCAGGGTTAGGTTCTGATCTGTTGGTTGATTCCTGATCTGTCTCGGATTGAAGCCTGCAATATGAAGCAAGTTCAGCAGGATATGTTTTCAAGCGGTCACACAAATCTGATTATCATTAGGTCAACCAAGGGTTTCTGAACCAGGTTATAAGCACAATCACATAAAAGAGCCAATTTTGGCAGCTGGTGACCAGACATGGGCAGGTGTAGTGTTGCATATTTCTCACGAGAACTACAAACTATAAACTGATGTGAGGAATTTTAAACTATAATACTGGCTAAAAGCAACACAGCTGCTGCAGGTAAAGTACGGAAAATTACAAAAACTGTGTGAATGTGTAAGTTAATAGTATTATTAATATCACTGCCTTTTAAGTAAACATAAGCTGACATGACCTTGGGCAAGACCCCTGAGGCAGGTAAGCACCTTGTATGGCAGCTCTGGTACCATTGGGGGTGTGAATGGGAAACAATGTAAAGCACTTCAAGTTAAAAAAAAAAAAAAAAAAAGCAATATATACGTGCAGACCATGTAAAAATGTATCCTGGCAGCTCCTTAGACCTCTAAACATTTCCATCTCACTGTCTGTGAACGAAGCAGCGTCTTTCAGCAGGATCTTCCAGGAATGCTGATTCTAGTTTCCCAGAGAACTGATTGGCCAGTAGCCAGCATTCATATAAATGAGAATAGTATTGTTAAAATATGGACACCCTCCACATATCTGTTCATTGTGTTGTTTGCTGCTAATGTTGTTTGTCCAAGTTGAAAGTAATTGCTGCGCTCCAGCTGGTATACGCATGCGTGGTTTATGCCGGGTGTAGTAACCGAGCTTCGCCACCAGATGGAGTTTAGTGTTTGTGAGCGCTGTCTGTCCGGGGAAAGCTACGCAACTTTTACGTTGTTGTCGCGATGTCTGTGTGTATTTACAGGTAAGCACGAAGCAGTAGAATAAGTCACAATGCACATGTTAATGAGTTAAACACTGACGGTCACGGTGAATTAGGGAAAGCTGGCCGTTTCTCCCCATAGTCTGTAAAAGTTAGTGCCATGCTAGCCGCTAAGCTAACATGGGGCCGGGTGACGTTGCTTAGCCTTACTGCGTGTATGGCTGTAAACAGTGTAAACAGGAGCCACAGTAATTCATGCAATTGTTTTTTTTTTCTTTTCTTTTTTTGATGACACATGCATGTTGTTTAGCTGTATTTTGGAACATTTAGAGAGAAAGAGTTTGGGAAAAGATGTCTAACACTGACATTGTTGTGTTGATGAGAGTAGGAGCCTGATGCAGACAGTGTCACTATGTCTGTGTATATGACAGAATCCACTGAAGTAAAATCATTTCCAAAGCACACTGAGTGACTCATTCAAGTGCACTACGAATGCTTATCTGATCACTTTGAACATAACCTGCTCCATAGCAGGGTAGGTCCCTTCTTCTGAGAAAAACTCAGGTTTAAACCTGAAGTTATCTGGCTAACCCCAAATCCTGATTTGTAGTTCACGTTTGGGCAGATGCAACCCCACATTTGTTAAGGTTTAGTCCAAGAAAATGAATCTCCATCGGTGTCAGTTTAATTCCAAATCTGTAAAGATTGAATCCTAAAACTTTAAACCTGTTGGAATTATTCCCAGTTTAGTCCAGGTAGCACTTAACAGTTTCTAACTCACATCTCTCAGAATTCAATCAGTTTTTTCAAACCTGTGCATCATTTCTACTGCTTCAGTGTTTCAGTGTTCACTTCTACAGTTACCACTGTGAGACTCAGTTTGAGTCGTGGACCACCAGTGAGGACATTTTAGAAGAGTAAAGTCAAACATCTGTTTTTTTTAAACCCTTCAAAGGGTTGTCTGAGGGTTAGGACTTGGTTTCAGGGTTAAGATTGGTATTAAGTTTGGGTTAGGGTAGTCTGACTCGCTGTATGTAGACTGTGGGTGAAGGCCTGCCATGAACCTGCCACCATCACGTGGCTTTCTCCTCCTCTTACACTAGCTGCATGCTTCTGTTGTTAAATCTCTTTCACTATAGTAAACAACAACAACCTCAGCCCTAGCAACCTACCACAGTAAAAAATTCAAGCTTCACAGATGATTTGAATTGTGCAGTCAGACAGCCCGGCGAGGTGTTTTTTCTCTGTGAACTATCCATTTTAATCAGTGCTCGTCTCCCTGTGTGCAGAGCATTTTTTCCCCTATAGCAGAATGACAGTGTGGTGCAGACAGACCATTATATACTGCAGAATGGTCTGGCTAAGCAATACTGAAGGGTGTGTGTGTGTGTGTGTGTGTGTGTGTGTGTGTGTGCGCGCGTGCGCACTCTATTTTTAGATTCAGCTGCTGTCTGAAAGTGACTGCCAAGTCGAAGCTGACCGACATAAAGCTTCACTGTTCAGACATTTAAAAACCCTGCAGTGAGATCAATGTAACAAAATACATGTTATTGCTATTTAATAGACGTTTTTTTGTCATAGAAAACTTTTTACACTGTGACCACAACACCCTGACAGAATCACCCCAGTTTAGTTTAGTCTGGACATGAAGAGAGTCAGATCTCTGCATCCGAAACATTTGCAAATATCAGTGCAGTTTATCATCAGTTGGGTTGACTCAGGAGTAACAGGTGATCTCAGGTGAGTTAACACTGCACGTCGTAGTTCAGGAAGCGGATGAGTCTGGCAGGAAGTGGCAGAGTGTGGAGCAGTTTGAGCCGCTGGCCTCCGACCAGGCGTCGGATCTTCAGTCTGCAGAGCTGCATCAGTGGATGAGGAGGAACTGAGAGCAGAACACAGACAGAAGGTCCACATATCAATCAGACAGGAACTGAACAAGAAACATTCCTGGAAACAGTCTGAGTATCTTGTCAGACTTTCTAAAACTTGTTTAGGAATATTTGTTCGAACCAAGAATTCAGATTGCTTCTTCTGTAGATTGTTTGAATAATTCAAAAACTTCTGTAAGTATAATGAAGCCTTTCATTTGATCTTTGGAACATTTTATAGAAAACATTTCCAGGATGTTCAATGGGAGCTCCTCATTAAGCTTATGTGCTTTCTGGAAACAGTGGAGAATTTGGAAACACTTTTAAATAACTCAGAGACTATTTTTTAGGAATTGAGAAACTATAACTCCTTAAGGAACTGTGAAATAAAAAAACATACACCCTGGAAACTTTTAGGAGACACTGGAACTGTAGTCTGACTCACCTGATGTAGGTGGCCACATATTTCACACAGCTTTCTCCCCTCCATCCATTATCTATGCGTTACTGTTTTCAGAGTCCCCCGTCACTCCTGGAAACAACAACCTCTGAGCAGCAACTAACCACGCTGAAAATGTAAAGTTTTGCCGAGGATTTGGATCGTGCAGCAGGTCAGCCCTGCTACTTTTTTCAGTGAATTAACCATTTTAATGACAATACTGCCTGCATGTAAATGTTCCCCCTAAATAATTGCTCTTGTCACTTTTTTGAGGGGACACCACTGCTGCATCCTGGGCTTAATACTGCCCACTACAACTGTGATTGGTTTAAAGAAATATGAACAAGGTAGAGTGCTTTATCTCCTGATAGCAGAACAATAGTGAGGTGCAGCCTCAAAATGGTGCACAATAATCTGGCTATGTGAGACGACTGGAACCTGGACTAGGAACTCAGAGATGTTTGTCGAAACTCATAACTTAAAAGCCTTCCACCTGTCTTGAAGAGGGAAACAGTAGCTGGTAGAAGTGACCTATAGACCCTGCCCACCTATACTATTGCTGTGTCAACTTTCTGTCACCTGTCGGTGCTGTTTTTGTTCCTTACGAGCTTTCAGTTTGATCGGTGCCCAGTCGCTGCAACTCTCCAGAACCTCGAGCAGCCGGGAGCAGAGGCGGACGTGACTGACGTAGTCCAGCAGCAACGAGATGATCGGACCGTATATCCGGCGGAAAGATGAAACAGAGACGGCCTCGCAGAACTGAAACAAGATGGAAGACGTCTTTCATTTAACACATACACGTACCTGGAAGTGTACTTTACCTCTCTACACTCACCAGAATGCAGTGCTGTGGTGCCGAATTTTCCCTTAAATGCGCTCTGTCGTCATGGCGCTGTGATGGTGGGATGGGTGGATGTGTTTTTTGGCCATAGGGACAGTCGAAGCAGGGCTGGGCGTTACAGCCATAGTCCAGCAGCATTTTGAGCATGGGCAGAGACTCCATGTTCAGCAGGATGGCTGACGGGAACGAGGATGGCTGTGTGGAGATCTCAGCATTGGCGTTGGCACCGTACCTTAGCAGCAGCTCTGCCATGTCTATCCAGCCCAGGCGGACGGCGATAAGCAGTGGGTTGAAGATGTCAATATTGGGGTTAGCTCCGGCCTCCAGCAGCATCTCGGTGGCCTCCAGGTTCCCGTTGTAGACAGAGAAGTAGAGTGCCGTGGTCCGCCGGTCCTCGTACAGCCTGGACCATTCCTCTGACAGCTCAGTGTTGACGTCAAAGCCATGCTCGATCAGCAGCTCCATGATTTCGTCCCTGTTCTTCTCTGCAGCGATGTGCAGAGGACTGATGCCACTGCGCATTACTCTGACCCTGCTGGTGGCCGGGATCAGCATCGACACGATTCTGGAAATATTAAAGGAAGCTGTCAAGTTGCGGTTCTGTAAGTAGCACTTTGTGTGTTAGTAAAAGGAGCCAGACAGCAGACAGATGAGTAGATGGTGATGGTCAAATTGTAAGACTCATGCAGTAAAAGCTGTGAGGGATTCAGACCGTATGTGATTGTTCTGAACAGCCACATGAAGAGGCAGCAGACCGGACTTCGTAGCTCGGTTGGTATCGGCTTTCAGAGCGATCAGCGCCTCTACAGCTGAGACATGGCCATTCTTACAGGCTTCATACAGCGGCGAGGCTCCGTCTCCAGCCTGCCCGTTAATGTCGGCACCTGAACAGAATAGACACATTCAGAGCTCCAAACAGACGGTAAAGACAGTTCATGTCCAGGTTTATAGCACCGACCTCTCCTCGCAAGCAGGCGGACGACATCTGGGTGTCCATGCTGTGCAGCAGTGAAGAACGGTTGAATGTCATAGATGTTTTTCCATTTTAGATCAGCTCCGGCATCCAGTAGCATCTTGCAGATCTTCACCTCACCATGTCTGCAAGCTTCATGAAGAGCACTTCCTCCCTGGGTGCTGGTGCGATTCACCTGAGCTCCAGACCTCAGCAGCAGTTCCACGATGGCTTCATTCGGATACTCACAGGCTAAGACACAACAAATGACCTTTTTTAGACCAGCAAGCTTTCCTGAGCAACAGCTGATATGAACTCTTTGGCTGAGCCGCCTCGTAGAGGAAAAAACTGTCGAACTGAATAGTCGTATCATCAGACTTCTGTTACTTTTTATAGGCGTCCAGACACAGAGATGAGGTGACCTGACACAAAACAATGCATCTGTAATGTGACACTGTAGCATCTAAACTAGGTAGAGTTGGCATTGTGTGAGAGCTCTGGGGGATGAAAGGTACAACCAATGCATTTCCCTGTGAATAAAAATATCTACATATGCATTCAAACAATCTGTTTGTCTTGTTTGCATCGTGTGGCATAATATTGCCTTATATCAACATATCAAATGCACCATTCTGAGCTAGCTGGCTGGCTAACACATAGGCAGCTCTGACAGAAGCAAACAAGAAAGCTAGATTCTTGAGCCGTATTCGCACAGCACTAGTGTGACCTGGGGATCTCCGTTATTGTGTCGGAATTCATCTGTAATCTTAACCCCATGCAATTCTGCCATGTCTGTAATTTGTAAAATAAATATTTAACCTTAAATGACCAGCCGTATTTCACCAAACAGTGGTCCGGTGATGACAGTTGTCCCATGCCAGTCACCTTTTTTGTCATTTAGTGTCATTTTTTTGTTTTTTAACCACCTTTCTCCTTATGGAGGTTGCACTGGCAATTCTAAAGACGCATGCGCAGAAACAGCAAATCCACCAGAAGAGCAGAATTTTGCAGAATAATGGGTGACATGTATGGCAGCATGTGGGAAGGAACATTTTTGGTGTGTTTCAGCAGGCTCTGTACGAAACACATGTGGAAGGATGAGTTTTAAATCACACAATGTCCTGTAGTAATCCTGTGTGAATTGGACTTTAAAAGCATTATGATAGAAATGTCAAGCAACCATTTCCTACATAATTAATTTAATGTGGAGAAGGCCTGTTTTGTTTATTGTGTTGGAAGTAGGCTAATGGTTGATAAAGTTCTGTATACATCAATGAGAAAAACACAGTATCTTATATCTGTGCATAGTTAGATGAATGAATTTCATCCTTAACATTATGTTAAAGAGACTGCTTTCCTGGAGCCTTGTGATTATATGAAATATATCTAATAGCTATAGTGAAATATAGGCTAGTAGCGCCAAAAAATATGTTAACGAAATGCAGTTTGACATTTTGTTGTTCTTCAGTTGGTGTTAAAAGTCAGCAGTCAAGATGAGCAGTTTGAAATAGGCTGACTAGATCTGTTCCTCTAAAACTATGCAAAAGAATTGACAACATTAATAAACAGAAAGAAACACAGGGCAGCGGCTTTCATTACTGAGCTGTCAGATATTCAGACTGTAGGGACACAAACACCTGAACAGATGTTATTTGAAGAATTCTAACATCCAACTTACTTTAAGTTAGATGTTACATACTTAAGCATTACACCAGTCCAATGTTAATATAGAACTATCCATCCATCCATTATCTATACATCGCTTAATCCTCACCAGGGTCGTGGGGGGCTGGAGCTCAGCTGACTCAGGGTGAAGACAGGGGACACCCTGGACAGGTCACCAGTCTATCACAGGGCTACACTTAGAGACAGACAACCAAGCACACTCACATTCACACCTACAGACAATTTAGAATCACCAATTAACCTCAGCATGTTTTTGGACTGTGTGGGAGGAAGCCGGAGAACCCGGAGAGAACCCACGCTGCACGGGGAGAACATGGAGACTCCACGCAGAAAGATCCCGGGTGTCCTCACCGGAACGCGAACCAGCGACCTTCGTGTTGCGAGGCAACGATGCTAACCGCTGCCCCTCTCTTGACCATCAACAACAAATTCAATCAAAATCTCCCCAATTGAGCTAAATGAAAAGTTTATTTCAAACGTTATCCTGTTGCGTTAACATTTGAATTTATCAACTGTTAGACCAGGTGAGAGCTACACGTTTCCCATCATGCCCTGAGGCTGTGCGGTCACTGGAGAGCAACTTACACTCTGGATGTTATCGTTGCCTACGTCATCGTGACATCAGTCAGAAATCCATCAGCCATGCAATCGCTAGTGATTCATCATAAACAAGCTCACTGAGCTACGCCGATGTCAGTAGTAGGTCTATGCAAACTCAGTTGGCTTTGAATTATTAAACTTGCAAAATAAATTTTAGGTATTTGCTGTTTTAAATATTAGTTCTACCATGTCCAAGCACTTTTGAATGGAAATAGTTTGGACAATAGTTTCTGATTCTGATAATTCAACTTGAGATGAGGCGCCATCAAGAGGCTTCAGACCAGAGACTGAGCCAGAGCATCAGGGTCCAGACGAGGACAGTAATGGGCAAGTGGGAGAAGTTACTGTTAGAACAGAAATATAGACGCTAGATAGAAGGGAGTGTCTTTTATTTCAGGTTTGAGCAACAGCTCCTAAAAGTGTCTGCACACAGTCATGCCAATAGGAGATTATCTGTGATGTTTACATACTGCAATGACATCAGTGCATTTTTACAGCACGGCCTGTGATGTCACTGCGACGTCATAGCTCACCCGTGAACAGCGACGTTTCTCTGGACGTGTTGGCGATGTTTGGGTCGGCTCCGTGGCTCAGAAGAAACTCAACACAGGAAACGTGTCCTCGTTCTGCAGCCAGCATCAGAGCCGTCTGACTGCATGAGCTACGTTTGTTCACGAACTCGGGTTGAGCTGAGGACACACAGAGGTCAAAGGTTAGTGGTTTACAAAGAGCATCCCACATTTGTGTAATAACATCTACTCATCCGAAGTCTGGAAATACTTTTATTTCCACTGTTTATAGCTGCTGGACACTAGACTTCTTCTGTTTCAGCAGGAAAACATGCAGTAGAAAGACAAAGTGAGAGTCACAGAGACCCTGAAGACAAAGACAACACTGCAGTCTAACGTGGACGCTCAGGTTTGTCACTCATTTGACCTATTTTCAGCATTTGTTAGATGTCAGTCAGTGCTTTGGGTAATTGAAGGTTGTTACAAATAGCAACAGCTACAAAATTAAAACCTAATTTAGAATACAGCTTTAATTTAAGCCCCTCGTGATGTGAGGTGTCCTAACATGAGCAGAATTGTGGAGAAATGACAGGTATAATGGGAACGCTCAAACAGGCTGAAGTTTCAGTTTAACCCTCTAAGCTCCAACCAATTTCAACTTGGGAATTTCGAAAAAGACTCATCGCAGTTCAGTCGTTAATAAGTTTGTGCTAAAGGGTAAAGAATTTTTAGAGCAGAGGGGAAAAATACAAGAGAAATCCACAGGAAAATAAAACATATTTCAGTTTTTTTTTTTTTTTTTTTTAATGAATCCAGCACAAGAGAGACTGAGGCTAGATTAAGTGAATGCAGTATGGCTCAGACGTGTTGTACAGAGCGGCAAGTTGTTGGAAGATACATCCAGCGTAGTGAAATATCTGGAAATGAAAAATGCTAATGTTTTGTCAGTATTTGTGACACCTGGTGGGAAAATGCTGTGCATGTTGATTCCAGGGTTTTTGGTTTTTTTGTAAAATAAATAAAGAAATTCTACTTTTGTCTTTTTTTAGTATTTATAGTATTCTAACTTTGCTATTGTACAGAAGACATTTTCCAGCCCTCTCTCTACTTCTTGGCTATCATTGTGCTGTTTCCATGGAGGTGCAGGAGTTTACATTAGTTATAAATGAACCCACAGTGAGTAAAGAAAGTGGCCGGGGCAAAAAGTGTGTTGAAACTGTTTGGTGTTTATCCATGAGAAATTTTAGGTGTCGTATTTTTGACGCGACAACAATAACAAACCAAACCATAAGGAATCCACAGCATTGCTGACCTCTGATGAGGATCCTGACGCACTGCAGCTGTCCGTAATATGCAGCTTCATGAAGAGCGATCCAGCCTTCATCACTTAGCTCCGTCAGGCTGCTGGACTTCTGTCTGACCAAAGTCATCAGAGCTTCCACGTCCCCATTTATAATCACTGTCTGTATGGGACTCATCTCTCTGCAGCAAAACAGACAAACACTTGCTGTGAGGACCAGAAACTCAGACATACAACGTGAAACAGCTACTTAACAGACTGAAATTCCAACATGTAGACTACAAAGAATTCACACAGTGCAACATTAAACCTGGGCCTTGATTTAAAATGAAAAGGCTACAAAACATGAAGTGTGATCAAATGCCACGCCGCCATGCATTCCTGGAAGGGTTCTTCTGGGATCCTCCATCTTGATGTCGTCCACGTCTTCTAAACGGGTCCCCTTGATGACCCCCTTGAGCTTGGGGAAGAGGAAGAAAATCCCACAGAGCCAGGTGGGGTGAGTAGGGAGGTTGCTCCAGCACAGAGATGTTCTTCTCAGCCAGGACCTGTGGGATGCTCAGGGCGTTGTGAGCAGGTTGTCATGGTGAAGCAGCCTCCACTGGTCCTGCCACAACTCTGCCTCTTCAGAATGAAGCAAACGCTGCAGGATCTCTTTGTAGACGTGCTGGTTGATCATCTGAAGGGGAAAACTAGTAATTTGTAGTTTGGGTTTGAAACAGATACTGTTTGTGGCACCAGTCCTGGAACTTTTCTGACACACTTCATATTTCTAGGAGTCTGAGGCCAGAGAGGTGTTTTGAGCCTAAAATCAGAGTTTTTAATGTCATGATGAGGATGGCTCTCTTTTAACCTGCTAGATCACCATGGTAACTGATGCTGCACAGCTAACCTGCTACAGAGGAGATTCTGTTTAAAGTTCAGAATATAAATCAGCTGAAAAAAGCTTCCTTCTTTCACCAGTTATTTTCTTGATGATTCTCTGTCAGCATACAGATTCTCAACTGAGGCAATTTGTTGAGCTGCTGAGCTGTAAATTAGTATTTCCACTGAACCAAAACAAGCCCAAGCAAGAATACAGACTTTCATTCTGAAGGGATATTTGAATATGGACTTGATAATTGAGTAGTTTGTGTAGAGGTGTATTGGTTGTTTTTAGACATTTTCTGTGTCTTTACGTCATATCTTGACCATCTCACCTCTTGAAGGTCTGATAGAGAAAATTCGACAGTGCTGTGGGTGGGTTTGCAGAGTTTTGGACCGCTGGGGGTGGTTGAGATGGAGGGACCTGGTGCTGTTGTCCGGATGGCTGAGGATGTCTTTGTCTGGGGTCTGGGTTTGTTTGTGTTACATCTGCCGGAGTAGGAGGCGCTAATGATGAAGATGAGTTCTGATCAGGGACTGGTTGAGAGTGCTTGTCGATGAGGCTTCTCTCGACAGCAATCTGTAGCAGCTCCTCATCAGACAGCTGACTGTACACACTGTAGTCATCCAGATTCGGCTCAGAGACATCCATGTTGGATCTAAAAGGGACAAAATATCATGTGAGTGGAACAGTTTACCTAATAGTATCACAGCAGCTCCTGTAATTTTTTGAAAAAATTGGTTTGGTGAGAAGCATCACCAGTTTCTTTTTAAAGTTATCATCTGTTGAAAATCTACTTTTATTGTGTCTTGAATGTTTTATAAACAAGGAGGTCTAAAATGAAAGCTGAGAGAATATAATAATGCTTATTACTGCTATTCCTATAGCCCAGGAATAGCAGTAATAGAAAGTGAGTCATTCAGAATCAGCAGCTGCCTCACAGTCCACCAGGTTTATTTACTTTCCAGAGCTGCTTCTGCTAACTTTAAAATGTCTTAGCAACGAGTAAGACACACCGAATGTTCTGCTGTTGGCTGAAAGGGTGAACACAACAGTCGTCATGCATTCCCAGCATCAAAGCAACTAAAGACTCAGTGGATTACTTGTATTTTGATGGCAAATTCACCACACCATTAGGAAAATCCTGATAGAAAGGCCTGATCTTTCACGCTCAGTCACGTCTGTGCCAGCCGCTGTGTAGTCAAATATTTTGTGCCACACTGTCAATAACAAATGCAGAGAGAGTCTTCTTCCTGAATGAGGATGTGGACAGCAGCAGCTGCATTTAACGCTACAGACACTGAAAAAGCCCATTTAAAACAGGAGTAAAGCCAAAGGTTATACAGTCATGGTGAAATGAACTGTCTTTGTTGTATTTTGAGCTAAAATAAAAAAAAAACACTCTCTGGGCACATGTGAGACTTTTATTAACTTGCTGAAAAGAAGCACAATATGGGACCTTTGAGTCTACAGTTACTGGGAGAAACACCTGCAGCGTGTAAACAGCAGGTCATTTGAGGTTGACCTCTTTATGTTTTGGCTGAAGCTGCAGGTAGATGAGGTCATTGGAATTGACTGGATGCTGTGGAGGTCAGTGGTGTTTCTTTCCACTGTGCTGCAGCCAAAACAGTTAAACACAGCAAGCGCTGCTGATCTTCTCGGCAAAGGCTCAAGAAAACTGAGAAATATCACAGAAACACGTGTCTTCTGGTATCCGTCTGGAGGAGTTTTATAATGCACCTTAAACACAAACTGAACTGACAAACATCAATAACATTTTACACAATCATGGAATCGTTCCAGTAAAACGCTCCATAAAATTATAAATAGATTGCTGTTGCCTCATCCCTTTTCGATTCTGTTACACCCGTGAGTTGCTGGTCCCTGAACAATAGTTTATCACAACCTGTAGCACAGCCTTTATTTTATTTTGATTTACACAAAAAAAACACAAACATATAGCTCACTTTGGTACAATATAGAATAACAAGATAACATAAGATAATATACTATTCAAGTGACTATACTATGAGCAGCTTTCAGCTAAGAACATTACAGGAGAGACTGAGGTGAAACCTGAATCCGGATGTAAAGTCAAAGACGTGACGAAACATAGGTTCAGTCCTACCTTTGAAATGATCCAATCAGGATGCAGTTGTCCCTCAGTTTTCTGCAGAAATAGTCTGGTTCTGCTGTGGAGATGCAGCAGCAGCAGTAGACCTGCGGTTTAGATAAAAGCTGAAAGAGTCTGAAATTTCAAGTGCCGGACAGTCGGCCAGCGCTCATACTGAAACTCTGCTGGCTTAAGGTCAAACACCCATAACAACAAATGTACTGCCTAATTTAGAGACTCTACTGTCTGTCTGCTGATAAAACACATTCACATACAGCTTCTCTCACATGGGTTTGAGTTACAGAGGCAACATATAGAGTAAAAAAAATACTCATTATCCAAATGTCATGAAGAAGAAAAGAAAAGGCACAAGACTGCAAAGAACATGAATGTGACTTGGCTGTTATGTGATGAATTCAGGTCATCCACAGATAGACTGCCGGGATCAAATTAACAACTACAGACAAGTTTGCACTGACAGAAAGCCAATCTGCTACGATTAACAAATCCCCGTAACTCCGTCAGACTCACACTGAACACAAATATCCTCTTTTTATTCCACACATTCTTCTTCCTGTTTGTAACCTGCTTCCTACATTACCCACAACGCAGCTGGATCTTTGAGGTCTGTTATCCCAGTCGCAGCTGATGCAGGCTGCAGCAGAGATGGGCAGTTCACGTCTCTCTAACTCCACACAGGTTTTTACTTGTCAGACTTTAGCTCCAAACAACCACATTTACCCGACAACACTCAGCTCCCTCTGCAGTCTGCAGTCATACTGCAACATCTGAAAACAAACCAAGCTGAAAAACCAGGGCAGTGACCCATTAACCCCGTAAACCTCAACACATGCCGATGGAGTTAAAATGGGATGTTATGTTAAAAAAAATACCAAAGAAAGGCCAAATTACACCATTTATTGGAGCCACATAGTGTTAAAAAGAATTGTTAAATTTTTAGCTTTGAAAATTACATTTTATCAAAATAACTTTATTCTACCTTCAAAACGTTTCCCCAAATTAACCTTTTATAAGAAAGACAGTGAAAAATAAAACATACTTGATCAATAAAATTCAGCATGTTTAGAAAAAAAAAACAGTGTACAGAGGAGCAAGTTGTCAGCAATTTATTTGAGGATACATTTAACATGGTGAAATGTCTTTCTAGTGTTGATGTACAGAGTAGTGGGAATAACGTATAGTTTGTAGGGGCTGCAAAAATGTAAATAGGGAAATATGCATAGTGTGGA